GTGAGTAACTGCAATTTAAGTATTTCATTTATTACTGCATAAAGGCTAAATAATGACGGTTCAGAGAAGACATGCTTGTCAAGTTTTCCTCTTAGTCATGTGAGGAAAAACAGATGGTGATATGTTAATTAGAAATGAGTTAAGCAACAAATTACATTGATTCAGGGATAGATGGACATGTATATGCACACATGCAGTTTTCCTGGAAAGGATCTTTTAAAATACCTCATTAAAGCTTGAGTGTAGCAGTAAAAAAGCTATTTTTCTCACTATTTTCTTTTCATGTTGGCTGTTGCAAAATGAAATAATATGCTGGCTAAAATTTAGCTCAAGAAAACAGTTGTATTCCAGTGTGTTTTGGGCTGTTTGCTTTTAAAAACCTGAGGCATAGAACTGTGCTGAGATTACTTTTTACGCTGTTGCTTTTGAAGTCCATCCTGGATTGAGGACTGGTTTAATTTTGTTTTATCTCCATTTGGAACGTATTTCAGAACAATATTTGCAGTTTGGGAATTGTAATGTTTAAAACAAGAACAACAACAAAAACTTTTTTTTTTTTTTACCCCCAAACAAAACTGAAATCTAGTATTAGACGGGTAATTTTATTTACGTTTATTAGAAAGTGTCCTGAGCATCTTTGAATGGCTTAGGGTGGCTTTTGGCTTTTGGCCATGAAGCTGATTGCTGTTGAGGGGCCAAAAAGAGGTTTGCTGCCGGGGGCTGTGGGAGTGATTGGCCTCGGCAGGTGCCTGATCACGAAATGTCTCTCCTGCTTGCCTCCCCCTCTGTCTCCGAATGAGCTTCCCAGAGTACAGAGCCCTGGAACTAAGTAGGAGGAAACATTTCTGGTTTGGCAATTTTGTAGCTTTAAAGTCTGCTGGTTAACATTAAAAAAAAAAAAAAAAAAAGTCACATTTTTTTTGTAGCTGTAATTCAGGCTTGATTTTAAAAACTTGCCTCGTACTGTACATACAGAATTAAAACAGATCCATTGAGGATTTGAAGAATATTTGTGGTGCTTAGAAGCTAGTTTGATTCGTAGGGAGCCAGTTTTATAATTTTAATGCTATACTCTTCTGTGCATACATCTTGTTGCATTGATTCCATTTGGTTGCACATGCATGTTTAATAAAGGTGCGTTTTAAGGATGTGCTTTTTTTCCTACTAGGAATTAAGCATTAGGTGGTGTTTTTGCTGTTGTCCATCAGTTTACTGGTCTTTTTGGTATTTAAGCATAGGTAATACTATAGTTCACCTGTGAATGATGCCAGATAATTTTACTAAGCTAAGGTTAAATTTGCAGTTTAAGAACACAATCACTCATACAGGACCAAAAAAAAAAAAAAAGCAATACAAAAGTAGTAATGATTTATCAATAACATTTCAAAATTTTCTATATATTAGCACCTACATCTTTTTATGTCTCCTGCATCTGTTAGTTTTTTTTTTTTTTTTAAATCTAGGTGAAAAAAATGAAATAAACGGTGTTAGTTTCCATTGTGACAAGGAATTTGGGGAACCTTTCTTTCAGTTTTGGTTTGAATATGTACACAGTTTTGCATACATAATCCCAAGTCTGTATATGAATTTATTGTTCATAATGGTAACGCACAGTTACAGAGTCTTAAGAAAGTGTCAGAACTGAGGCTCCTGGGGTATAAATATGTCTGCAGTGTGGAAGGGATTCTTAATTATTTCAAGTGTTCTAACTCCTCCTGCTGTGTTCAGTGTAGGTAATTGTTTATTTTTATATAGCTGTTCTTGTGATTATATTCCTCCTGCCTGTGTGGTAAAGCTCTGCCCTTGTAGCTTCAGTCCCACTTCGTTATAGGCACCTCGCAAGCCAAGGATGCTGGCTGGTACTCTCAGGGAAGACTCGTCCTCTGGCTGAGATTTCCTAGAAGTACCAACCTCACCTCTCTTATCCAAAAACAGTAGGTGTTACTTGGAAGTCTTATTCACTGTATCTAGATAAGGACATTACTGCTCTGGCATCCCTCTGCACATGCAGTTCTTCACGCTCTTGACCAGTAATTTGTTCTTTCAGGTGTGCCTGTAAGAGCCTCACCTATAAGGCAGATTCAGTCCCCTGCCTGCACGGCGGGTCTCATGGACATAGCCAGGGGCTCGTCATGCTTCTTGGGACCTGCCTGCTTTTTCCCCCTTCTCTGGGGTGCATTTTCCAGCCATGTTTTTCAGGCATTTTCAGCCTGGGGTTTTGCTGAAATGATTTTACAGCTGTCTCCCATGTGTACTTGCAAAGAGTTTCATCCCCAGTAGGCAACAGTTTGAGTGACCTCTTGAAAGTCAGGTGATTAGTTTTGGGTTGTTGTGTGTTGGCCACTGGAATCAAACAAAAAAGTGATTTTTTTTAAAAAATTGATTTGTTTTATTTTATACTTCTTTGGATGGTAAGCGCCTCCCCCACCCCCTCATGAAAATAGTCGCCTTTTTGAAGTTGTACTGCTGAATATATGTAGGATGCTTTTTTCATTACGAATTACGATGCGTGAACATCATGTGCATTTGCGTACGTTCTGAGAAAGCTAGATTTTATTCACTTCAGCAGTCCAATCACAAAGCACAGTGCTTTGTTTGACCTTTAGCTTTTAGCACCCTTACGTTCCTTTCCCTTTTCCAGACCTGGCTGACAAATGTCAGCATGCCGTAATGTATCGGTTTAGGGATCTGTTTATGGCAGATAAACTTCACCCAAAGGTTTGAGGAGCTTCCCTATAAATAGCTATGTTGGTCATAGCTTTCTATATGCTTGTAGGGTTCCCTGATCTGCATTTTACAGTAACCGGGTCTCTTAGCTCAGAATTTGGTTATGAATGCCAAATTTTGGAGGACTTTTGTCTTTGTTGTTGAAGCTTTTTGTAAAAGGATGTACCATACAAGTTGTAATTCTGATGAATTTAGCAAGTCAAGAAGTTTTTCTGAAACTAGTGCATCTCCTTTTTCCTTTGTCTTCTACTGTTCTTCCTTGCACAGGACTTGCTCAGCTAACTTTCCCTTGTTAGCACACTTTGGTTTCAACTCTGAGTAAAATTGCTCAGTTGACTTACAATACTGAGGGACTGGCCGCTATTTTGAATCTGAGAGATGGCAAGTCTTCCTACATCTCAGGCTTCCCCTTTCACCGGAATAATGTATTTGATAGCGTAGGATTAACACCAAATGGAAGGATTTTTCTGGTTTTGTTTGAATTTTTGGCTACTGTTTGTAGTTGCTAAAGATTGCTACTGCAGATGTCTGTGGGACATAGATTGGTGTTGAAGAATGCCAGCCATGATCCACTGAAGGTGAAATTTCCTGCTTTCGGTCTATATGTTGTCAAATTATGCTTTTTTTTTTTTTTTTTTTTTTGAGTATTGCAGTTCTATTTGTCTTGCAGCATTAGGCAATACTTTTTCTTCTGTTAAAGTATTTGTCTTCAGATGCTGTCCGGTATGTGTGTTGCAGCTGTCATGTATTATAGTCTCTGAGAGTTTAGGAAAGCCTTAACCATATCAGGTAAGTTGATGGGATGCTTCCTACAGGTTTACCAACAAGTAACCGTTCATACACAAATGCAAAGACTGGGTCACTAGTATTTCATGTATTTCTAGCCCTTTGCCATACCCAGTTCTCAAGACATAGCTTCACTTCTTTCGTTGGAGAAGTGAATGGTGTGGAAACTGGTGACTGTATTTTGTGGTTGGTCATTATCAAAAGGAACCGCAAGGAACCAAAACTTCTCGGTCCCTGTTGAATGAACTAAAACAGAGGCAGTTAAAAGACAACAGAGATGAAAGCCTTCCTTGCACCTCCCTTGGAGAAGTTGCTTACTAGAGCATGACTGTGGCCCAAGGTGAACTCCACTTTTGGAAATAAAGATGAAGCAATTCTGCTGTTTGCAGCACCTCCCTAAAACGTAGCACTTTCCTTTGCCTACAAGCATGAGTCTTCCTTGAAGAAAGAGTTGTGAGGTTTTGTATGCACAGCATGAGCTGCTACAACCTCTCTGCTTTAAGACAGGAAATACATCTGGAAACAAAGAGGGAATTTGCACCATCCAGGACTGCTCTTCGGCCAGCTATAAAGTGATTAGCAGACTGAGGACCAGGGATATGAACTGGTGCATAAATCTTACCACGTGTTGCTTTATTTCTGTTTTTGTTCTTGGGAATGAAGCTAGTTGAAACTCAGTGGCATCAGATGAAAAGATTAATTTATTGTTCAATCGAGGTCAATAATGCGAACTTTGCAAAGGTTTCTGTTGCCAGACTCTTTCATTCGAGTGGACCAAAGTCAATTGAGATGAACTTCTGCAGTGACCTTGATCAAAGAGGCAGACTGCTCAAGAGGCCTTTCTTATTCTAGTCTGAATATACTGCAGATCGGTGGGGGCTGTAAACCTACTGAGAGAAAGGCAAAACAAAGTCCTGTAACTGGTCTGTGTGTGGTGTTGAACTTTTGACTTTCTAGGAGTTGCAGCTGGGGAAAAGTCAGCTTACTACTAATGAAGTCTTCCACGCACAGTCATTGACAAATACATCAACTTTGGAGAGATTGTTTAGATGGAAAATCTAGAATGGAAGAAGCTGGTTTACAGCCTTCCTTTCTCCTCTTGTGAGAAGAATTTCATATATGAAGAGAGAGGAGGCTGGAACTTGGCATCCAGGAAACTGTGTGCGCCTACCACTGCTTATATCTCTTGGTGCATGTGCACAGCTTCGAACCAGTAAAGCAGAAGTGGAGTTCGATTTTTCAAAATAGGCAATACTGTGCAATACTTTTCCTGTCATTCAAGTGAAATAAGAACAAGAACCTGTAGATATTGCTTCACCAGAAAGAAAGATAATACAGCAACTTTCACAGACACATACTCACAAAGTAGAAAAGATTTTTTTTTTTCTATGAAACAGCACTGTGAGTAAGATATTGCAGTCCTGTGTTCAGAGAATATAAACGTAAACCATCCAAGTTTTGCATTTACCATTGTTGTGATATTTCAGCTTAACGACGGTGGCAAGGCAGCCCGAGCGCACGTGGGGATAGGTGATGTGGTTCTCACCATTGATGGGATAAGTACGGACGGGATGACTCATCTAGAAGCACAAAACAAGATTAAGGCGTGTACAGGCAATTTGAACATGACTCTGCAAAGGTAAGATACCATTTTCTTTTTTTTTTTTTTCTTTTTTTTCTTTAAAAGAGAATTAATCGTCATCGTAACAGTTGTTTGGAGGATAAATACATGTAAGTGGTTTGGCAAGGTGCATGGTGTTAGGTGGCCACAATTGAAAGAGATGCTGCTGTAGCCTGAAATGTCTTGATTTATAGCATTTTAGAAAACTTATTAGATGTTAATTACGTGAGTCGACAAAGACCTTTTCCAGCCATCTGTCACCTGCTCCACATTGAATGAAGTCTAGTTCCTCTTCCTTTTGAGCTTCAGTTTTGTTAACACTTGTTTAATTAAAAACAGGTCTTATCCAGGCTCTCTTTCC